CTGTTTCCAAGGCTGTGATCTCTGCCATCACCACCATAAACAGGAAAATGGGTCATCTAAGCCCCGGGACAGAGAGAGACACGTCTGAGGGCTTGGTTAGAGAGTGGGCATATTCTGGGCTCAGGGCCTTCCCGGCAGTCTCCTTTGCTGTTACCTCCCAAGACTCAACTCGCTCCCGGACTCAACACACAGCTTAGGCAGCTTGGATGGAGGGGTTGATATGACTGGGCAGGAACAACTGGGAAAAGGAGAGTGAGGGTGGTCGCACAACTGGAAGAATGGCATCCGGATCCCTGAGGTACAGGCAGGTACTGCTGACTTGGTGCCTGTCTTGCTGTGTGTATTGTCAACAACAACAGAAAAATAAAATACATATAATTTAAAGTTCAGGGAGGTGTAGTACGACTTCACACCCACTCAGACTCCATGTCTCATAATGGATGTACCACATGACCTGAGAAAATGGTCCTCGCTCTTTCCCGAACAGACACAGCGACACTGGCAGGTGGCTTTGCCATGGGGTCCTTGTTTCCACCTTCTTGTCCTGCTGTTTCACGCAGCCCCACCGAAGTCAAGTAACAGGGTAGCCCCTGCTTCAGTCCCCAGCCAGCATCCTGATATACAGCCACCAACCTTAGTGTCCATGAAGGCGTGCACATTGCTAGGTTACTGGGCTTCAGACTGACCAATGAGAACGGTTGGGTGATCTGCTTCTGAGAGAGCAGCCCATGAAGACTGGACCACAGCTCATCACGGGAAGGGACCGGGCAGTGTTGTGTTCTGTTATACAAAATCAAATGTCAGTTCTCACTGGAATCCCATCCCACCTGGATTGAAGAGGAGAACTCTCACTAGGTGTGAAGACCAAGAAGCGACCCACTGACTTGATTCAGAAACCAACTGGAACAGGAGGAAGTGGGAATGGGGCACAGAATCAGTCATCAGATCCCCACAAACGGGGAAACCATCACGGGGACTTCTGTCCTCAGCAACTATCTCCTTTTTATCTTCAGGAGAAGCATTTTACATTCACAGCACTATGTGCCCAAATCTAGAGTTATCACCTTGTTTTCAGAGTTATCACCTGTTTAACATTTCTTTTAAGCCTTATAGTGCAATTTCAGTATCTCCTGTGAATATAAAAATAACGCTCAGAACATACATAGAATTTTTTTAAAAGACATAGTAGCAGCCCATATGAAATCTCTCTATTGCCATGGAAATAATGGATTTCTTTTTTTTTTTTTTTTTTAACAAAACACATCCTTATTCTAATGCAGAGTAATTATTTTGTCACATTCTAGCAGGCGAAGAGCCAATGAGCGCTTCCCTGACTCTGCGTTTATCGCGTGATCTTTGAAAGGCATTCCTGTTATCTGTGAAATAACTTGAAGTTGACTTTTCTTTTCTAAGGATGGTAGTTTTCAGCTGGAGAAGAGACCATAAAGCACATCAAAACATTTGGAGTCTTTTAGGAACATTGTATTTGTGTTAGTTAACCGCCAGTATTTCTTGGATTTATCTTTTTATTATAAACAGAATGATGCACGTGTATCTTTAATGACACTGACAAAGTGCGGAAGGTTTCCTATTTTGGAAAGATCTCCATGATGATTTGAAATAAACTCCATCCGTGTTTTAAAATGCTTCGCTACTGTTAAGGAGCCCTGGTGCCTCCGTGGGTTAACTGATAGGCTGCTTGCTCACCGGAAGGTCGGCCGTTCGAGCCAACCAGTCACTCCATAGGAGAACAATAAGACAAGTTGCTTCTGTAAAGGCTGATGGCTGTGGAAACACTGTGGAGTGGGTCTCCTCTGTCCCACCGGCCGCAGTGAGTAGGAACAGACTCCAGGGCAGTGTGTTGATCATTACTGTTACTGATGCTTACTGATGGCAGCCAAGACTAGGTACTCCTGATACCATTTTAGTGTTTTTGAAAGTTTCTTCTATAGTTCACGCATTCTCCACTTGGCAGTGAAGCTCCAATGTGTTGTCTGGTACACCACTGAGAAGGTAGCAGGCTGTAGGGGCACTCAGGACAAGTCACACATGCAGGGATACCTCAGAGGCCAGTTAGTATGCCTGTTGTGTTAGGTGCCGTCGAGTCGGTTCTGGCTATAGCAACCCTATGTGAAACCGAAAGAAACACTGCCCGATCCTGAGCAACTGTCATAACTGTTGCTATGCTTGAGCCCATTTTTGTCCATCTTGTTGGGGGTCTTCCTTTTTTTCGCTGCCCCTCCACTTTACCAATTATGATATCCTTCTCCAGGGACTGGTCTCTCCGGCTTGAATTTCTAGCAATGTATAACTGCAGAAGTTTTTTAAATTATCTTCAGCAAAATCTTACTTGCTTGTAGTATTAAATGATATTATTATTTGATGATTTCTGTATTCTGACGAGTCTCCTCTCTTTGGAATGGGAACAAATATGGATGTCTTCCAATCAGTTGGCCAGGTAGCTAGATTTCCAGATTTCTTGACATAGATGGGGGAGTGCCTCCACTGCTGCATCAGTTTGTTGAAAGATTTCCGTTTGTGTTCCATCAATTCCCGGAGCCTTGTTTTTTGCCAGTGTTTTCAGTGCAGCTTGGACGTCTTCCTTCAGGACCATCAGCTCTTGATCGTATGCTACCTCTTGAAATGTTTGAACGTTGACCATTCATTTTTGGTACAGTAATTCTGTGCATTCTTTCCATCTTCTTTTGATGCTTTCTGTATCATTCAATATTTTGCCCATGGAATCCTTAAATATTACAAGTCGAGATTCTAATTTTTCTTCA